TAAAAGAAAATTTTTTGAAGGGAATATTTTTCTATGGACCAGCATCAATAAGGCGTGGATTTTTAAAAGAAAATTTTTTGAAGGGAATATTTTTCTATGGACCAGCATCAATAAGGCGTGGATTTTTAAAAGAAAATTTTTTGAAGGGAATATTTTTCTATGGACCAGCATCAATAAGGCGTGGATTTTTAAAAGAAAATTTTTTGAAGGGAATATTTTTCTATGGACCAGCATCAATAAGGCGTGGATTTTTAAAAGAAAATTTTTTGAAGGGAATATTTTTCTATGGACCAGCATCAATAAGGCGTGGATTTTTAAAAGAATATTTTCTCAAGGACCAGCATCAATAAGGCGTGGATTTTTAAAAGAAAATTTTTTGAAGGGCCAGCATCAATAAGGCGTGGATTTTTAAAAGAATATTTTTCTATGGACCAGCATCAATAAGGCGTGGATTTTTAAAAGAAAATTTTTTGAAGGGCCAGCATTAATAAGGCGTGGATTTTTAAAGGAATATTTTTCTATGGACCAGCATCAATAAGGCGTGGATTTTTAAAAGAAAATTTTTTGAAGGGAATATTTTTCTATGGACCAGCATCAATAAGGCGTGGATTTTTAAAGGAATATTTTTCTATGGACCAGCATCAATAAGGCGTGGATTTTTAAAAGAAAATTTTTTGAAGGGAATATTTTTCTATGGACCAGCATCAATAAGGCGTGGATTTTTAAAAGAAAATTTTTTGAAGGGCCAGCATTAATAAGGCGTGGATTTTTAAAGGAATATTTTTCTATGGACCAGCATCAATAAGGCGTGGATTTTTAAAAGAATATTTTTCTATGGACCAATAAGGCGTGGATTTTTAAAAGAATATTTTTTCTATGGACCAGCATCAATAAGGCGTGGATTTTTAAAAGAATATTTTTCTATGGACCAGCATCAATAAGGCGTGGATTTTTAAAAGAAAAGAAAATATTTTTTTGGACCAGCATCAATAAGAAAATATTTTTTTGGACCAGCATCAATTGAAGGGAATATTTTTCTATGGACCAGCATCAATAAGGCGTGGATTTTTAAAAGAAAATTTTTTGAAGGGAATATTTTTCTATGGACCAGCATCAATAAGGCGTGGATTTTTAAAAGAAAATTTTTTGAAGGGAATATTTTTCTATGGACCAGCATCAATAAGGCGTGGATTTTTAAAAGAAAATTTTTTGAAGGGAATATTTTTCTATGGACCAGCATCAATAAGGCGTGGATTTTTAAAAGAAAATTTTTTGAAGGGAATATTTTTCTATGGACCAGCATCAATAAGGCGTGGATTTTTAAAAGAAAATTTTTTGAAGGGAATATTTTTATATGGACCAGCATCAATAAGGCGTGGATTTTTAAAAGAAAATTTTTTGAAGGGAATATTTTTCTATGGACCAGCATCAATAAGGCGTGGATTTTTAAAAGAAAATTTTTTGAAGGGAATATTTTTCTATGGACCAGCATCAATAAGGCGTGGATTTTTAAAAGAAAATTTTTTGAAGGGAATATTTTTCTATGGACCAGCATCAATAAGGCGTGGATTTTTAAAAGAAAATTTTTTGAAGGGAATATTTTTCTATGGACCAGCATCAATAAGGCGTGGATTTTTAAAAGAAAATTTTTTGAAGGGAATATTTTTCTATGGACCAGCATCAATAAGGCGTGGATTTTTAAAAGAAAATTTTTTGAAGGGAATATTTTTCTATGGACCAGCATCAATAAGGCGTGGATTTTTAAAAGAAAATTTTTTGAAGGGAATATTTTTCTATGGACCAGCATCAATAAGGCGTGGATTTTTAAAAGAAAATTTTTTGAAGGGCCAGCATTAATAAGGCGTGGATTTTTAAAAGAAAATTTTTTGAAGGGAATATTTTTCTATGGACCAGCATCAATAAGGCGTGGATTTTTAAAAGAAAATTTTTTGAAGGGAATATTTTTCTATGGACCAGCATCAATAAGGCGTGGATTTTTAAAAGAAAATTTTTTGAAGGGAATATTTTTCTATGGACCAGCATCAATAAGGCGTGGATTTTTAAAAGAAAATTTTTTGAAGGGAATATTTTTCTATGGACCAGCATCAATAAGGCGTGGATTTTTAAAAGAAAATTTTTTGAAGGGAATATTTTTCTATGGACCAGCATCAATAAGGCGTGGATTTTTAAAAGAAAATTTTTTGAAGGGAATATTTTTCTATGGACCAGCATCAATAAGGCGTGGATTTTTAAAAGAAAATTTTTTGAAGGGAATATTTTTCTATGGACCAGCATCAATAAGGCGTGGATTTTTAAAAGAAAATTTTTTGAAGGGAATATTTTTCTATGGACCAGCATCAATAAGGCGTGGATTTTTAAAAGAAAATTTTTTGAAGGGAATATTTTTCTATGGACCAGCATCAATAAGGCGTGGATTTTTAAAAGAAAATTTTTTGAAGGGAATATTTTTTGAAGGGCCAGCATCAATAAGGCGTGGATTTTTAAAAGAAAATTTTTTGAAGGGCCAGCATTAATAAGGCGTGGATTTTTAAAGGAATATTTTTCTATGGACCAGCATCAATAAGGCGTGGATTTTTAAAAGAAAATTTTTCTATTGGCCAGCATCAATAAGGCGTGGATTTTTAAAAGAAAATTTTTCTATTGGCCAGCATCAATAAGGCGTGGATTTTTAAAAGAAAATTTTTCTATTGGCCAGCAACAATAAGGCGTGGATTTTTAAAAGAAAATTTTTCTATTGGCCAGCATCAATAAGGCGTGGATTTTTAAAAGAAAATTTTTCTATTGGCCAGCATCAATAAGGCGTGGATTTTTAAAAGAATATTTTTTATTTCTTTATTTTTCAATTCATTTATTCATTGTCTAAATTATATATAAATTAAAATAAAAGTATAACTAAAAAATATCACAAAAATAAATAATACTAAAAAAATGTAATTAATACTTCCTTTCAAAGTTAGTACAGTGGCACTTAGGTGAGAATGTCAGACTTATTAGAGTAAAGAAGCAAATTATTAAAATTAAATATATAAAAATTTTATATATACACAAAGAAAATGTCGGGCCAAGATTGGAACTTCAGCTGCCAAAAAAAGTACGGCCCAATAGCTCAACTCCAAAAAATACTTCAACTATATATATCGACTGTGCTTAGGCGGCTGGATTCGACCCCGATTTAATAGCGATTAATTTCCAGTTTATTTTTGCTGACCTCTCGAATGACCGGTATCTCGACACGGCTAATGGGAGAGAAGGCGTATATAAAATATTATTTTTTTTTTTTTTGATTTTGAAGAAGAATTATATACAGGCACAAGTAAATTATACAAACACATAAACAGAGACACAATTATAATTTTCAAATCCGAACATCCATTCGATGGGCTTCTCAGGACACAAGTTTTCTTGATGTTCACGTCGCAATTTGACATCGATGAAATTTTGAATTTTGACGACAATTTTGGACATATATGTACGCTATATACAATAGAGATTTTTAATCTAGGCTAACAATCACACACACACACATATGTATAGCAAATAACCAGTAACCCAGCAAACAATTTTACAAATGAGTTATATATTTTTGGTTTTTTTATATAAAAAATTAAACTTTATTGATAATTTATGTCACAAATACATACATATAAATAAATTTACATATATAAAATGAAAGCATATAATTTTTTTTGCATAAAATATGGTATAAATATAAATGCATATCTAAAGACTGCAGGCAAACAGGGTTATAATGAAAAAAATATGGATCAGAGAACACCCAGGGAAGTTTTGTGGGAATTCATTATAACCCTGTTGTACTGTATGGATTTTATGGTGGGAGTAATTTGACCTATGGTAAACGATTTTCCAAATATTTTTTTTTATTTTTAATGTTTTTTTTCGGAATTCTAAAAATCTTGTTCTTTTGGCTTGCCATAGAATGAGGATATTTCGGAATGCATTTGAGATTAAGGCAAATATATTATTTTTTTTTCTTTTTGGTTTACAACTTAAAAACTATTGTTTTTTTTTTTTTGTATACAAATAAGTTGTTTTGTTTCATTAAATATATAACACTGATATTATGAGAATTCTTCTTTTTTTCTTTATCATCACCCACTGAGACATTGAAAGACACATCAAAATAGAAACAAATATATATTCAGAAAAAAAAACAAATTTACGTTCTGAAAATGGAAATGGTATCCATCAAGAAGACAGCACCATTGATGATCATCAATGAACCGGCAGCCAAGGCATTACGTTTGCTTTCCTTGAACAAGAGATCGGATCTATCGTGCCATTGATCAATGATCAGGGCGCCAGAGATGACAAACAGGACACAGCCAATGATGGAGAACAAACCGTTCAAACGTTTCTCAACCACTGAGTTGATGACATGACCTATTTTTTTGGAGAGAGGAAAGAGAGAGAGAAGACTGTAACATCATTTTATTCGAAAATTTGATCTGAATTCGATCTTACCAATCAAAATGACAGCACAGATGACAGCATAACCACCCATGGTACCGCACACAATCAAGGCATTACTGGAGAAATTGCCACTTGTCTCCCAGAGAACAATGCAAACGACGGCAATTACCTAAAAGAGAGAGAGATAGAGAGATATACAAATTAGTAAATAGTCAGAAAATTTATATTCGGTAGTAGGGATACGTATGTCGAATTTCGACTAATCGATTTTTCGTAATGAAAAGGGCTAAAATTTTAAGTCATGTTTTAATCATGAAGAAAGGAATCGGACGAATATATATATATATATATATATCTCAGCACTAATTTCAACAAAACGTCGCATGTAGTGACGTGCAGATATGAGTACATAATTATTTTTTTTTTTTCATTTCTAAATGAAAACCAGTGAGCGGAGCAGTATAGTCGGACGGGGCCGACCATACGATACCCTACACAACTACCACGAACTCTAACTTTCTGAGGATGTTTATTCCGAGTCTGAGTAATATTTCGTGATATTTGCCCCCTCTTGCCCGATTAGAGGTCAACAACACCTCTTCCTTACTTTTTCGAATATTCAGTACAGTACATTCAATAATTACTTGTACAGATTATCTTCACGGTGGGTTGTGTTGTGATTTTCGGATTATACTCGACCCGAAAACACTCAAAAAATTAAGTTTTCGGTCCATTTCATACCAAAATTTTAATCTGATCATCACCGAAAATTGTAGGCGTTGTTCTTGACCATAACTGGAACTTCATGAAAAATTTTTAAGCCATCAGCGCGATATTTCCCCCTCTAATGTGGTAATGGGTTACTAAATAATATCTGAATACGTAAGAACCTGTAAATATTTGACTGTAACTCCCACATCTGAGTAGATACATCACTATATTTGGTATCAATTTAAAGGCCAACCACTCCTCTTGGATATGTTATCAACTCCTCGGGTCTACATCCTCCAGGAGTAAATATATATATGACATAGAATACAAATTTTGTCATTTTTCACACAAAAGTCAGGGTCCATTTGACCCGCTAAATATTGACCGATCTTTATCAAAACATGCACGCTTATTCTCTGGCCCGATCCCCTTCTCCATGCAAAATTTCGCGGTGTTTGGGCCATAATTGCAGCCTCTGGAGCGACCAGAAAAACCGACAAAAATAATGTTTTTGGTCCATTTCATCCCCTAAATATTAATCGATCTTTTCCAAAAACAATAGGGGTCTTCATTGGCCAGAACCCATCCTACATGCAAAATTTCGTGAAGATTGGTCCATAACTGTGGCCTGTATCGTGTTTACAAATTATAATGGACAGACGGACGGACACACATGTCTAGATCGACTCAGCTAGTCGAGATATGACGATCGGTATACTTAAAGGTGGGTCTAGGACCAATATTTCGCGGCGTTACAAACATTTGGGGCTGCACAAAGCTATAATACCCTGACAACATAGTTGTGTAGGGTATAAATATAGAAACTTAAAATTTTAAGTGATTATTTATAATCTTTCGAGTCGAGCTTGATGATCTAAGTTTTGCAATGAAAAGGAAAGCCAGGAGAAGAACCTACGTACACACCATTATGTGACGCGTTTCGCCGTTGGTTAAGCGGCTCATCAGGCATATTGGGCTATGTGGCATTACAAATTTCGTACGTTGATAACATGTTTTTATTCCGCCATGATGCGAAACTTGCATATGCGAATTAAATTCAAATTTGTCAAAGTTCGATCTTCATTCTAGGAACAATCCTTTTCAAAGCAGTTTTTTTTGTACCGATGGATAATTAATCCACACTCCTACAATTGCATCCATGGTATACACATGTTTTTGCGCAACCGTTTTGGAAGTGTGTTGATGGCTCAGAACGTTAAGTGGTCTTGGCAACATTTGTGTTGCTCCGAGGGCCTAGGTTCGAGGTTTATTTGAAAGTAATTTTAAGTGATTATTTATATTTGCAATGAACTTAAAATTATTTTATTTTTTTAAACCTTGTTCAACTCAACAAAAAACTCAAAAAAATAGATATATGAACAGAACAAAAATAACTCGCATGTACTCAATTTTGTATTTTCAAAATCGGTATCATTTGGAGCATTTTTAGAACTTGATTTATAACCCTTTATTTATTTATTTATTTTTTTTGACCATATTTATACGTTTTGGCATACTTTCATCTAATTCCTGTATAACTTTATTAGGTATGCTCAGCCATTGACGCTGTACTCGTTCCCACAGGTCTTCTAATTTTGATGGAGCTGATTGGTACAACAACAGATGTCTTTCTAATATTGACCATAATTTCTCAACCTGTGGCCAATTCATCACTTGAAAATATGTGTACTATTTTTGCACTATGCTTCGGATCACCATCCTATTGAAAGACAACCTCATCTTCAGGATATGCCCTCATGTCAACAAACTCGGATAGATGAGTCTGCAAAATGGCTAGGTAGTATTCCTTCTTCATGGCGTTGAATGGTATCACCAGAACGACGCCAACAATACTGTCCCCTGGGAAACGGTTAAATTTTGATTCATCTGACCAGAAAACTTGTTTCCAGTCATCTGTCGTCCAATTTTTAGCTTGCGAACTTCATTCGGGCCATTTGCAATAAATTCACTATCTTGCTTATTTTTGGCAACAGAAATATTTTTCGGCATTACGAACTTGTTCTTCTTCATTTCTAGCATCATACGCGAGCGTCCGCGAATGACCACCGATATGGACTTCATTGGCTATTTTACCGGATGACTTTTTTATTTTTGACAACAGAAGTATTTTTCGGCGTTACAGACTTGTTCTGCTTCATTTCTGTCATTATAAGCGGATGTTGTGGCTAGGAAGTTTCTGGCTCTGTTGTTTTAAAGCGTAGTTGATTTCGCCTGGTGTTTCTTCGGCTATTTTGATCGTAGATGAAGAATAGCTGGAATGCGGCACATAGTTCTATGAGTCGCTCATTCTGTTTGTTTTTAACTCCACATCCATGTTCTGCCATTGTTGAACGGGCTTTGGTTATCGCGTTTCCTATTTTAGCGTTAAAGTCACCCACGAGAATTACGATGTCTTCTCTCCGAATTTCATTAAGGGTTGAGTTGAATTCATCTTTCACAGTATCTTTAGCATCTTTCGTAGTACTGCATACTCTACATCGCACTGTGCCATTATCACACGGTTAGATATTGGCTTCGATCCATTTTCTGCGAAAAGGCTTCAAACTTGTGCTATATGGGATCCATTTGGTTGCGAGTATTGCTGTTCGGTGAATTTCCTTGTACGAGAAAATGTAGCCACCAATTATCAGCTGGAATATGTGAACCAGTTCTTTTCTTGTTGCACGAGCTTTGGTGTGCGCATTCCCTATTTTAACGTTAAAGTGAAACTTGAGAATCATAATGTCTCTTCTACGAATTCCATTAAGGATGAATGTGTATTGTGCATAGAATCACAGTATCCTCAGCACCTTTACGTAGGATATTAGCACAGTGCTACGGTGAAGTTTCTCCATCACTCCTAAATCGAGCCATTATTACACGGCCAGATATTGGTCTCCAACGACTTCTTAGTGTTCTTCGACATTATGATCCCAATTCCGCTTTCATTGCCATTTTCTTTTCCACTGTCTAACATATAGATGCCATTTTCTGTTGCTTTTATTCATTTCATTTCGCTTATACCTATACAGGATGCCATTTGATATTCTAGCTTTTCAAGCCTCTATACTTCATGGAGATCAACCTTCAAGATAGTGTTCGATACCATCAGACGAACTGTCATGTGTGAAGCATTGGGCTAAGCGGTAATATTCCAGAGTATGACCTGTTCTAGCTGTGCAAGCATTTATGCTTCACAAGGAGCACACCCTTTGTATAAACTGTTCGTCGATTCCAAGGAAGCTTTTGATAGCATCAGAAGAAACAAAAAAAGAACGATCCGAATAATATAAGATCATCGTTCATCATCATCGTTTTGCTCTCGTTCGCCCAGTTTCTCTTCAATTCAATCCGAATTAACTGACGTGTACGAACGATGAAAGAAAACGTTCAATACAATCGGGCGAACGATCATATGGGAAGCCTTGAGGAAAAAGTAAGTACATCAGAAAATGATATGAATAATATAAGATCATCGTTTACGAAGTTAATTTTTCTCTTGTTAACTAGTTCTCGTTGATGCAATCCGAATTAACTGTCGTGTACTAAACGAAACTTTGGACCTAAATACATGAACTAGTTTCTTTTGCAAATGAAGCCGTAGATGACCGATTCGATTCAGGAATGAGATTCCACTAGCCTAGTATCTGAATTAATCAAAACATTATTGAAGGAAATTCAGGCGCAATTCACCCTAATTATCTAAGTTTAATTTGTTATATCATATGTTATATTCTCGTGGTATACCTATCTTAGCTCCCTTTTATAATTCAGAAGAAAAATATGATCTGAGACAGAAGATCTACACTGCGTATTTCCCAATAATCATAGTATTTCTTAGACGACAACCAGATGTCGTTGAATTCGTCACATAAAAAAGTGATGCCAAATTTTATTTATTTTATTTCATATTTATTTCCATATTTTCTTAATGATATTTCAAAATACAAAATATATCAAATAAAAATACGGCACCATTCACTATGGCCATAGAACCGGCAATATTTAAATAATTTCGATTATCTCGTCTATAATTCGGAGACCATTGATCTAAAATAACCGTTCCAGATGATACAAACAATATGACAGCGGCAAAATTTAATAATATGGCAACACGTTTATCGAATACGGCATCCAAGAAATAACCTAAAAACAGGAAATTTTGAAATAAATTCAAAAGTCACAGGATGTGTGTAGGGAAAATAGACTAATTACCAATTAACAAACAAGTTCCGATAATTAAATAACCGCTTAAAGTTCCACACACCAACATTGCCTGACTGCTATAATTTAGATCCCCAACACACTCAATCAAAATAATACAAATTGTGGTGAATGACTGGGAATAAAAAAAAATTGAAATTATTTTGAGTGGGATTGAGGATAAATTATAATTATTATTGAGGATAAATAATTATCCCCAGAAAATATATAAGGGACTTACATGGACAATGGACTATAGGCGAGATTCGTTACGAACACAATAAAAGTTGGAGAGAGAGAAAGAGTACATTTTCAAGAAAAACATTTAGAGAGAAATCAGTCTTGAAAACCTGTTTAAATTGAGGTTAGATGGAAATAATAATGAACCGTAAAAAAATGAAATGAACCCTAAGAAAATAGCAGAAGATTCCAAAAAAATAGTGAAGAAGCCTCCAAACGATTTTTAGATAAGAAATGAAGATCTGTAATTGAAGCACTGTAAACCAGTCTTTTTTCCTCCAGGACAAAAGAATTTAATTTTTAACCTACAGAATGATATCAGATTTCGAATAGACACTTACAAAATTTCAAACTTCTTGAAGACAGCTGATTTTGTTTTTCAATCTTATTTTCTATTAAAAAAAAATAACCCTTACGTCTTGCATTTTTTCGTCTACCTACTCAGACGTTATGTTTACATTATAAAAACAATAACACTCACTTCTTGTCACTGAACTTCAGCGTTACGTATATTTTACCAAGTGTACGCAAACCCCATCCAATCATTGCCCATCCTATTTACTCTTGAAAATATTCAGCGATAAACTTCAAGTGTCATTTGAAAGAAAAAAAACTATTCCCCCTGTTGATTCCTGACCAACGATTTCCAACACTTCTCTACAATAACAACCAACAATAAATTTAACTGATTGTCACTTTGTGATTTTTTCTGAAAAGGTTGTCTAATTCCCCATAAGTCGCAGACACTTCACATGGCAAAATTGTAAAAAAAGTATTTTATCTTTTTTAACACTTTTAAGTCCCTGGAGAATTAGTAACAAGAGAACTGCTATATATGACAATTGCAAATGTTTTGCCGAAAACAAAGTTATTAGTAATTTATATAAGTGATTTGAGGCGTGACAATTAAATTCCACCTCTAAGAAAACAGCAGCTCATTTATGATTTTAATATAATTCCATGGATAACGTTTGGATTGTTGGGTATATACAATAAATTTTGGAGATTGATTTATAAAAAATAAAAAAGGAAACTTGTTGATTCATACATTTTGCATTTTAATAATTAATTACTGATTAAAAAATCGTTAAAATATATACACGAAATATTTTTGAGGTACTAAATAAAGAGTGGGTTCAAAAAAATGTAGTTGATGGTCCTAAACAACGTTTAAAGTCTCTAAAGAATATTTTTGAAAAATCGAGAGAAGTGTGACCTTTTTTTAGAAAATTCTTAAGGTAGCCTATATTAGCGAGGATTTTTTAAAGTTTATTTTTTGAGGGTCGGTATAGACAAAGAACATTTACAAAACTTGTTGATTCATACATTTTGCATTTTAAAATTTATTAATAAACCAGTGAGCGGAGCAGTATAGTCCGACGGGGCTGACCATACGATACCCTACACAACTTCCATGAAAATCTAACATTCTTTGGTCCTATGTTCTGAGATTGGGCAATATTTCGCGATATTTTCACACTTTTGGCTAGCTAGAGGTCAGCAAATGCTACAAATAATTAGTACAGCTCCTGTAATTATTTCACCGTGGGTTGTGTTGTGATGTTCGGCTTCCGACTCGAAAAGTACAAATAATTAAGTTTTCGGTCCACTTCATCCGAAAAATTATTATCTGATCATAACCTAACATTTTAGGCGTTGTCCTTGACCATAACTGGAACCTCATGGAACATTTCAAAGCGATCAGCGCTATATTTCCGCCCTCCAGTGTGGTAATAGGTTACTAAATAATATATGAATACGTAAGCACATGTAAATATTTAAGTGTAACTCCCGCATCCGAGTACCTACGACAATATAATTGGTATCAATTTAAAAGTCGTCCACTCCTCTTGCATATACCGTCAACTTCTCGGGTCTTTGTTATATAGCGTTATAGAACACAAATTTTGTAATTTTTCACACAAAAGTCAGGGTCCATTTGGCCCGCTAAATATTGACCGATCTTTATCAAAGCAGGCATGATTATTATTTGACCCAATCCCCTCCTCCATGCAAAAATTCGGTGTTTAGGCCATAATTGCGGCCTCTGGAGTAACCAGAAAAACCGACAAAAATTAAGTTTTTGGTCAATTTCATCCCCTAAATATTAACCGATATTTTCCAAAACAATAGTGGTCTTCATTGGCCAGAACCGATGCTACATGCAAAATTTCGGAAAGATTGGTCCATAAATGTGGCCTGTATCGTGTTTACAAATTATAATGGACAGACGGACGGACGGACACACATGTCTAGATCGACTCAGCTAGTCGAGATATGACGATCGGTATACTTAAAGGTGGGTCTAAGACCAATATTTCGCGGCGTTACAAACTTTTGGGGCTGCACAAAGCAATAATACCCTGACAACATAGTTGTGTATGGTATAAAAATACAAAAATTGTATACGTTAATATGTAGTTTTGAGGTACTTAAAAACTGTTGATTTAAAAATATTTTTCAGGTCTTCAAACTATCTCGGATTTTTTAAAGAATTGTTTATATCAATAATTTTTTTTCAAATGTATTTGTTGAAGGGCAAGATACTTTGGAGATTGATTTAAAACATTTACAGAACTTGTTGATTCATACATTTTGCATTTTAATAATTAATATATAAGTTTAAGACAATTTGTAGAATTCCTCTTTCACAGTATCATGAGCATCTTCCATAGTAGCATAGCGCTGTGCTGTGGTAACGTATCTTCATTACCCTTAAATCATGCTATTATCACACGATCAGATATTGGTCTACAACGACTTAGCAGCGTTTTTCGACATTATGATCCCAACTCCGCTTTCTCCTCTATTTTCTTTTCTACTGTTTAGTATATAGTTGCCCTTTTTGGTGGGAAGTTCATCCCTTTTCTTCATATGATTTCGTTTACACCATAAACATCGATCTTATAAGATGCCATTTGATATTCTAGCTGTGCAAGCCTCGATGCTTAATGTAGATCACCCTCTGCAACTAGTCTTCATCGACTTCAAGAAAGTGTTCGATACCATCAGACGAGCTGTCATGCGAGATGCATTGGGCTAAAAGGGAGTATCCCAGAATATGATCCGAATAATGCAATTTGCTGTTCTAGCTGTGCAAGCACGTCCTGTGACTTTTTTCGGAATACTCATAAGCGAGGATGTTTTAAAGCATATTTTTCGAGGGACGAAATATACAGGCAAATTTAGAGATTGATTTACAAAAAAATATTGGTTAATACATTTTGCATTTTTAAAAATTAATAACAGAGAATAATAATCGTTAATTAAAACTATATTTTTTATTAGACCTCCCAAAATATATTTTAAAAATAAGGCGATAAAATTAAACTATTTTTTAAAGAATAATTTTGGAAGGATTATAAGGAGAGTGAATTTTATTAGAACCATTTTTGAGGGACAGAATAATTTTTAAGGGTCCTTAAGAAGCGCAGATATGTAAAGAATAATTTTTAGAGGGATGTATGAATTAGGTGCTTAAGGAATATTTTTTGAGGGACTATAAGAAGAGCATATTTTAAAAGAATACTTTTTTAAGGACTATAGAAGCATACATTTTTTATGAATCATTTTAGAGGGGCTGAGGAAAGCGTAAAATTTTTTTTATAGCATAATTTTAAAGGTGCTATAAGAAGCGTGTATTTTTAAAAGAATACTTTTTGAGGGACCATAAGAAGCATGGATTTCTTAAACAAAAATTTTTGAGGTTCCTTAAGAAGTGCAGGTTTCAAAAAAAAAAAGGAAATATTTGGGTACCTGTAAAAATTGTGGGTTTCTCAAAGAATATGTTTTGAGGGTCAATAAGAAACGTGGAGTTTTTTAAAGAATATTTTTTGAGTGCCTATACGAAGCAAGGATGATTTAAAAAATGTTTGTTGAAGGTTTATAAGCATGGATTTTTTAAAGAATATTTTTTCAAGGACCAACATTAGCGTGGATATTTGAGGGTTAAAAATGTTTTTGAGGGTCTATAAGAAGCGGGGATTTTTTAAATAATATGTTTAGGGTCTATTAGAAGCTTAGATTTTTTAAAGAATAATTTTTGAGGGTCTTTAAGAAGTGCAGATTTTTAAAGAATAATTTTTTACGAAGAGTGGATTTTTGAAGAATAATTTCTGAGGGACCATAAAGTGCTTGGGGGTTTAAACAATAAATTTGGAAGAACTACAAGAATCGTGGAATTTTTAAAGAATAATTTTGGGAGGACTACAAAAAGCGAGGACTTTTTAATGAATAATATTGGAAGGATAACAAGAAGCGTGGAGTATAATTTTGGAAGGACCACAAGAAACGTGGACTTTTTAAAGAATACTTTTGGAAGGACTATGAGAGGCATGGATTTTTTAAAGAATATATTATGAGTTATTTTTAGATAATAATTTTTGAGTGGAATATTTTTGAGGGTCTATTGGAAACGAGGAAGATTTAAAAAATGTCTATGTGAAGCGTGGATTTTTTAAAGAATAATTTTTCAACGACCAACAGAATCGTTGATTTCTCCAAGAATAGTTTTTGAGGGTCTGTAAGGAGCTAGAGTCTTTTAAAGAATAATTTTTAGGGTCCTTAAAAAAACTTTGATTTTTAAAGAATAATTTTTGAGGAACTATAAGAAACGTGGGTTTTGAAACAATAATTTTGGAAGGACTACAAGCAGCGTGGACTTTTTAGATACTAATTTTTGAGAGACCTTAATAAGCGTTTACTTTTTAAGAACATATTTTGAGGAACTGTGAGAGGTGTGGAATTTTCTATAAATGCTGTTTGAGAAACTATAAGAAGCTTATTTTTTTATTATTATAGATAATTTTTGAGAAACTATAAAAAGTTTTGATTTTTTCAAAAGTGTTTTTAGTAACAAAACCTGAATTATTTAAATATATTTTTTAAAGTTCTATC